AGAATATACAAAACATGTATTAATCAACTATGTTACCAGTAAGGCTTCCCATTAACAGTAAGGTATTAGTAGTTATGTTTTTGGAGAGTCAGATTATATGTGGATTCTCCTACCCCATGTTGTTCAATGGTCAACTGTGTTCCCTTCTCAAAAATAATGCATGCTACTTCTGTACACTGATTTATTTGTTTGTTCACTCCTTCCCTTTTTTAGTCCATAGTATTTCTTAAACCCCTGCTTTGGGCAGTGGAATGCACTAGGCTGTAAAGAGAACATGGATGGGTAGGTTTTACATTTATAGAAGTTACAGTAGGGGAAGAAGATGGTTACCTGCAGGAATTTTCTTCAGGGTGCAAGTGGTCAATCCCGTCAGATTAGAAATCCACTGAAGTGCCATGGGATTCAGAAGGGAGGGTACATCCCTTCCCGCCAGGGGGTTAGGGAGACCTCATGGAAAAGCAGGCTTTGAATTGGTCGTTGAAGGCTGAAGATGATGTGCTCCATGAACTCATTTATTCCTTTCATCAAAGAAGTATAGATAATTGGGTCATTGTTGATTCCTTCTTTTCTGCCTTTAAGTAAATCTGCAGGCTTTTAATATGGAAAAAGGCTTTCAGTTGACTTTCTCCTTGGCCCACCACTTAACCATGATGAGATGTCTCCTGTTTGCTTTTCTTAACTCATTCTTGTATACCTGGCTTTCTCCCTCTTTTATCTCATAGATGGTTTCCCATCTGTAGCTCAACAGTGATCAGCCTCCAGTCAAATTTACTTTTTTTCTGTTTTCCTCAGCATCTTGCAGCTGCATTTGACACCACTCATCAGTCTCTTGTTGAAATTCTTTTCAGTCTAGGCTTCTGGGGCAATCTTGTTGTTTTCCTCTTCCTACTCTATCTTTTGTCATATTACAGGGTGCAAGCACCATATAGCTAACTTTCTCAAACTGCTCATTTTTACACATAGGAAAGCTCTTCACTGCCATATGTACTTGTCTTTTATTTGCTTCTCTCCCCATTCATTGCCTTATGGGGTGCCACAGCCTTAGGCCTAGACCCACTCTGCTTTCCTCACTCTAAAGAAACTGACATTATTTATTAAATACTTTGATGAAGGTACCTAGCAAATCTCCGTATACATCACACACCTTTATTTTATCTTTTATTCTCATAGTAAATTCATTTGCTGTCTGCTAAACACTTGGAACAGTCAACACTAGACTCAGTATTGCCTCCTTACTTTGTTAAATCATTGCATCCAAATTGCCTTTTGTCTGCATTTCTGACTTCAGAATTTGGAGTCATCTTGAGGCCTCACTTTGTCCATTGTCCAGTAAATTCAGTGCACTTACAACTGTCTATTAATTGTTTCCTGTGACATATAGATCTGCCTCTTCCATCCCCCCAAGTGCCGTGAAATTACAAGTTTTCCCCCTTTGTGTCCAATCTGCTACTGGGGACTTCTGAGTGTTCTGTCTCTTTTTGGTGTCACCTGTATTATTATTGCCAAAATGTCATTTTCTGGCTTCAGACTATTGATTCCTTACTGCCCACTCTCAGTCTTTGTGATTCTCACCTTTTTGGTCCTTGACCAGTTACACTTCCTCTCTTTTTTACTATTCTCCTTTCTCACCCCCAAGGTAGACTTTTTTCATTCCAGCCATATATAGTCACTTGACATCTATAGGTTGCCTTTCCCTACCTTCTGCCCACCCTCCCTCCTGCCTTCCTCCCAGAATTGACCTGCTTACTCTCACCTTCCTGACTTCTAGTGAACTATTTCCCAGGATGGGACGCTCTCCTATTTCTTACATCGCGTTCTTTTCATGCATTCCGTGCATTCCTTTATTCAGCAAATGTTTGTTACTATTTGCCATGTGCCAGGCATTTTGCTAGGAATTAGAGATACTAAATCCTTGCCCTTAGGAAGCTCCATAGACCATAGGGGACACAGACAGGAAAATAGGCAGTTATGATTCAGTGTGATTAGTGCTGCTAATAGAAAGCCTTAGAAGCCATGAGGGCATATGTAGAAGGGATATCTTGATGCAGAAAGGAGGGATGCCTATGCAGCCATTCCAAAGACTGTCTTAAATTGAGTCTTAAGTTCCTTAGCCAAAGAAAGAAAAAAAAAACTAGAAGTATACCTTCACCTGCCAGAAGGCAGGTACAAGTGGCCCCACCTGGCCCAGTGTGACCTTCTGTTCTGTGTTCCTTTTGGCATTTAGACCCCTTGAAAGTCTTGATCCATACGTGTTTTCTCTTCAACTAGATTATAAGCTTCTAGGGCCTAGAAACTGGGTCTCCTTTTTATTATACCCTGTGCAAAGCATCCAGTGGAAATTAACCACCAGGACCAGGACAATGACCACAGCATCCTTGGGCCTAGGGTTTTCCAGAATTTTATTCTACAAGCTTGATTGTGACTGTTAACTTTGTAAGATATTTTTATTTGATTTCGGACACAATGAAATTTTCTGCTTTATTGTGTTTGAATAATATGTTCCCACTTGAATCACTCAGTGACTTGCCATTGACACCTGTAATATAATACATTTGTCCTTTGGTGATGAAATGGACATGTTAGCAGTGTCAGCTTGGTTCAGAGGGTGTCACTAAAAGGTGTTAAGAGCTGATTCTTTGCAGTAGCCCTAGGAATCAACAAGAAGTGTCTCCAAGTATAGGGCTAACATTACGAACATCTAGGCTGATCTGATCATGAAGTATCTCATAACTTCCAATTCAGTGATATTCGTATTGTAGTACTTCTTTTGGTTTTTATTATGGGCATTTAGTTTTCAAAGGATGGCAATGTTGAAGGCTGAGGTACAGAGACAATGTTGTTTTCAGGGCCACAGTTTGATCTCCTTTAGATGCTTTTATTTAGATTGATAGTTCTAAACCTTTTGGGGGTCATGGCCACATATGACAGCCCAGTCAATTTGAGGAAAATGTACATGGGCACACAGACAGAATTGTATATGCTATTTCGGGGGTTTCCTATACCATCTGAATTCCCCCATCAGCCCTGTGAATCATTATTGGTTTGTTCTAATAAGATTATTATAAAATTGTCATTTTAGGCTAAATATGCTAACAAAGTTTGATCTTCTGTTTGATGCATGCACACAGTGAACATTTCATTGCACATCTGCTCCTATAAACCACTGTTTTTCTTCTTTGGAAACAATGAATGCATATGTATTTTATTAGAGAAGTGCAAATAGATCAGTTCTGCTCAAGCAGAGGAGAAGCTCTTATAGGTACTGGTATACATCTGAGCAAATAGGAATTAGAATCTATTCAGTATAGCTGTCACAACTACACTTACCCATGTTAAAGAAATGTTTCTCAGGTTATAAAGCAGCTTATATAACTGCAGTCATGTTATTTAAAAAAAATAATGAAGCCCTTGTATCAATGTTTATATAAAATGCTAAAGGAATATACCTCAAAAGGCACATATACTCAGAGATAACATTGCAGGTGGTGGGTCTTTGCTATGCTGCTGTTTGAAATTTTCTTTGTTGGAAAATACGGATTGAATAGAGAAAGAAGGGATGAGGCTTCTTTTTTTTTTTTTTTTTAATGTTTTATTTTATTTCTAGGAGAGAGAGAGAGACCGTGATCAGGAGAGGGTCAGAGAGAGAGGGAGTCACAGACTGAAACAGGCTCCAGGCTCTGAGCTGGCAGTCAGCACAGAGCCCGATGCGGGGCCCGAACCCACGAACCGCGAGATCATGACCTAAGCGAAAGTCGGACGCTTAACCGACTAAGCCACCCAGGCGCCCCAGGGATGAGGCTTCTTACTAAACTGGGTTTCTGACTTTTTTCTTTGTGTATTCCAGTGAGTGTGTTGAATGATACTAAGGAAAAGATATGTTAACAAAATGAGATCCAGCATCTCAATACCTGGGCCTTCATTTTTGTTTTCAGTTTGAATCCTGGTTTCTTTGGAAAAGGCAGTTATTTATTTATTTGTTTATTTGTTTGTTTATTATGCTCTGAAAAAAACAAAATTAAATTCAAACTGTGCCAGGTAAAATGAAAATTCAGCATCCTAAGGAACACATAATAGTGCATTGTGGGACTTCATAGTTTACAAAAAGATCCTGTATATTTGCTCATAAGACTCTCAGAAATCAATGAAGGCAGATGGGTCAACATGTATGCCCATGTTCAGAGAAACCCAGTTCGGAGACTTAGCTGAGGTTCGTGACTAGTAGGAGGCTTTTTGTTTCTGGATCCTAATTCAGTGTTCTTCCTGGCTTCTCTGCCACTGAGACTTACGTAAAATCGCCTTGGCTCTCTGAGTCTCAAGTTGCATATTTTCATAATGTAAACTTCTTTCATGTATTTATTTCAAGTCTTTACACTTGTTTTCATTTTGCAGAGTTGTCTTGAGAATCTGATTATACAGTGCAGTGGTTCTCAAGGCATGATCCCAGACCAGCACCAGGAGCATCTCTTAGGAGCTTGTTCGAAATGCGAATTCTTAGGCCCACCTCAGACCTGAATCAGAAACTCTGGGTATGGAGCCCAGCAGTCCCCAGTTAAGCCAACCCTCCAGCTGATCCTAGTACACACCCATGTTGGAGACCCACCAGCAATATGTGTGAGATGGTATTTTCAAAAGAGCAAACCACTCTACAAATTTGAGATCATAAACTTTTTTTTTCATTGAGGTAAAATTTATGTATAGTGAAACCCAAAGATCTTAAACATACAGCTCTATGAATTTTCACGTTATGTGATCACCGCACCAGCCGAGTCATAGAACTCTTTTATCATGCTATAAAGATCTCTTGTGCCTCCTCTCGTCTGTCTGCATCCCCGCCGGGCGGCTACTACTGGTCACGGACAGACTTCATTAGAGGAAGTAAGGGGACAGGATGATGATGAGTTGAACGCAGAAAGAGCAATGACTGTTCTTTTTTTTCTTCACTACTTGTACTTAACCATTTCCTTTTGAAGTACTGACCATAGTTCTCTCTGGTTTTTCAGCCCATGGACCAAGCTTCTCTCAAAAATAGCGACGTTCTCGTTCTGACAGGCCTCACCCAGATCCCCACCGCGAACCCAGACGGCATGGTGGGAGAGTTCTGCAGCAACCTGGGTACACAGGATGAAATGTGCTAGATTTACTTTTCAGTTCCTTGCTTCTGTAGTATTTTGTGCTCCTTCCCTTCACAGTCACACCTTCTGATGCCCCCATTCAAGGCTTTCCCCTGCACCCCGCCTACTTTACCCTTCCTGCCCGTCCTTCAAAGCTCCCCGTTGTCAGCAAAAGCAATTCTTAAGCAACATAAATCTGAAGAATGTGAGAATGGTTGTTATAAGTGTAAATTCAAATGTTTAGCCCTTTTATGCAACAGATACTCAACATTCTCCCACTTGATTTATGTTGAGAATTCTTATTTATTCTTCTTGCTCTGTGGTGGGATTTGGGGGCAGAATGGGGGTGCATACAGGATAGCAGTTGTCAAAAAAGGGAAGAATCCCATCTTTGCTCGCAAATAATAGCACAAAAAAGACTTAATACTTTGCATTCACAATAGCAGCATACTGAACAGATATACTTTTTCCACCAGTATTTGGTCAGTGTTGTTTTTTCTTTCAGAGAAGACTAAATTTGGAGGAAAGACTTCCTACCCAGAAGAAATGGATATTTCTTTGGATATAAATTGTCTGTAAAATCTAGAAATCCTACCTTTCTCTTAGAAAAGTATAGGTTGATTACTGTCTTAACTTGGGCTGCTGTAACAAAATACCACAGACTGGGTGGCTTAAAGAACAAACATTTCTCACAGTTCTGGAGGCTGGGAAGTCTGAGATCAGGTTGCCAGCATGATCGGGGTCTGATGAGGGCCCTCTTCCTGGCTCACAGGCACCCACAAGTATGTCCTCCCTTGGCAGAAAGAAGCAGCTCTCGTGTCTTCTTCCTTTTCTTATGAGGGCAAAAATCCCAACATGGAGGCTGTACCCTCATGGCCTCATCTAAACCCCGTTACCTTCCAAAGCACCCCTAACCCAGTACCATCACAGTGGGAGTCAGGGCTTCAATATATGAATTTTAGGGGTCACAGATGTTCCATCTGTAACAGTTGCCAAAGAGGAGTTAATGAGCTTAGCTTTTCACCCCTTTCACACAGTTATTCTTTCTTGAAAAAATTATTGGACTAGTCTCAAATAGCGTCCCTGATTTGTATGCTTTGTTTGCTTTATTATCTGGAATCACACAAAACACTTTAGATCTGAAAGGACCTTTACATCTAATCTACTGTTTCTCAAAGTCCACTTGCCTCATGATCAGTGAGGTCACTTCTTAAAGATGCACATTTGAGGGCCCTTCCACAGACCTAATAAGTCAGATTCTATGGGGACAAGAGAGAACCAGGAGCAAAGTTGCATTTTCAACATGTTCCCTGGCAATTTTCACACTTATGGAAGCTTGAAGACCAGTAATCTAGTCCACTCCTCTCATAACCAATGAGGAAACAGGCCCAGCCAGGTTTCTGTGGCTTACATGGGATCCTATAGCATATAATGAAGCAGGCATAGAGCCAGGCCTCTTGAGCCCTGACCACTGTCTCTCCCCATGGTACCATACTCTAGGAATAGCAAGTCCACCAGTACTCCGAGTTCAGCATCTGGGAGAACCCAGATCAGACTTGGGAACAGAGGAGGCTTCAAGATCTGTACCCAAAAGCTGTGCATTTCAGTTTGTTTTGGAAACCAAACAAAAAAGAAACTTAAGAGGGCTTTTTTTTTCTTTTTTAGCCAGTTAGAACTTATAATATAATTATACCCATTAAGTTGCAATTCTTCATTTGATAACTTGTTCTAAGTATTTAAAGTGTAGAGGATTTTCTTAAAAATAACACATTAATGAAAGAAAATGCCACTAAAATGAGTCAAATGGAAAACCTTGGCCTATTTCCTTATAAGTCAGAGACTGAACAGAGACAAATCCAGCAAAGTTTTGAGCAGGAGCTAAAAAAAGAAGGAGCTTGGAGGGTCTGTGCTGAAGCTTGGCTGCCATTGGTAACCTTTAAAACCCAAACCTTTAACTGCACATCCTGTCCCCAGAGACTGAGACATCCATTAAAAACCCAACTAATTGTTAGCCTCTGAGTTCTCCCGTTCTTGTGCAATTCTTCAAAAGAAGCAGATCATTGTACATAGGAAATGAATTGTGTGAACAGAAATAGGAAGTGAAAGAAATTAAATATTATTTTAAAAGTTTCATTCTACATTTATAAAACTGTTCTTTTGACACTAGTGTTTTCTCTCTGGCTTCAACTTTTCTAGCACTGACAGTCCGAAATGGAGGAAACGTGCTGGTTCCCTGTTACCCTTCTGGAGTGATCTATGACCTCCTGGAATGCCTGTATCAGTACATTGACTCTGCCGGCCTCTCCAACATCCCTTTCTACTTCATCTCCCCCGTGGCCAACAGTTCACTTGAGTTTTCCCAGATTTTTGCTGAGTGGTATGTCTGCATTCTTCTTCATGATTCAGTACATTCAAGCAATAAGAATAAAATGTAAAAAGTTTTTTAATTAAAAAAGAATAGGGGCACCTGGGTGGCTCAGTTGATTAAGCGTCCAACTCTTTATTTCAGCTGAGGTCACAATCTCATGGTTGAGTCCCGCGTTGGTTGGCTCCGCTCTTAAGATTGTGTCTCTCTCTCTCTCTCTCTCCCTCCCTCTCTCTCCCTTCCTCTCCTTCTATCCCCCTCCCCTGCTCACTCACACTCATGTCCATACACTCTCATGTCCACACATGCACACTGAAATATCTAAAACATCTAAAAATAAAAGAGGGTTTTTTTTTCCTTGCATTACTATGAAACTTTCATTCTGTTGTCTTTCCATGTCTGTGATGTGAAAATTGTATTAATGAAAGCCAAATCTGTTACATTGCTAAGAGTTTAGAAGAATAGTTATCAAGGAGAGAAGGATGAAAGGCAAAGGTTTAACTTAGCACTTTCAAATTCAGTGGCAAAACTATACATTTATCTTCTCACATGCTACCCTCTGCCTGTTACAAAGTGAAGTGACATTCTAGAAGCTCAAAAAAAGCCCAAGCTCATGTTGTCTGGAATTTATAATACCAAATCTGATAAGGAAAGCTAGATTTTTTGTTCACTTCAATAGCATGATATTTGATAAAATTAAGTTTTATTAGAGTGGAAAATTGCTTGATCCAGTCCTAAGATGGGTAAATTGTTGAACAGTATGAAGTTAGTGAACCTTTTTAGGATTATTTTGGTGCATATTTGAATCTAACTCACCTGGCCAAAAAAAGGGAGGGATGGAGGAAATATACTAACTTGTACAATTGACCTTTAAGTGCCTTAGGGTGGTGTTTCTAGACAGGGCTATGACACACCTACAGAGGGTGTATTTAATCTATTTCAGCTGTATGGTAGCATAACGGACACAATGTTCTACTAAGTTTCCAATAAAGAAGGAACTTGTATATCATTCTGTCCTAACATATTCTATATGCTGCCTCCCCACTCCACCTTCTTAAAGAGCATTTTTTCTTCCCCTTTTAGTTGTAGTCAGGGTCTTTTTTTCTTTATCTCGATTCAGACAAGCTTCTCCTTCCTATGTTCATATTAGTCGTGTTTGTCCGTAGGGCCATCACTTTATTGGTATCTGTTGAATTGTATTCTTTGTGTTGGGTCATTTCTCCCCCAGCATAGGAGGTTAATCTTGAGTAGTTAGGAGTCCAGCCTAAGTATCACTTGCACAATTAATCAGCATGTTCTGCATTTCTTCATTCAGATCCTCAGTAAAAAAATTCCAGCCAACCCTGCAAGTCCCCGTGGGTGGTGTGCTCCTCAAAGCCACTCCTTCCCCACTGCATGCTGTTCTTGTCAGAATCTCTGATAGGATAGAAGTCAGGACCATGCAAATTAGAGTAGGTTGTTTTTTGTTTCACAGTTTTATATTTGTTCATTTACTATAGAAAATAATGTAAGTTACAGAAAATGGGAAAAAACTGAACTCATAAACCCACTATCCAGAAATAATATCACTGTTGGCATTTTGATGGATTTCTTCTTTCTTTTTTTTTTTTTTTTTTTTTTTAAATTTTTTTTTTAATGTTTTACCTATTTCTAGGAGAGAGACAGCATGAGTAGGGGAGGGTCAGAGAGAGAGGGAGTGACAGACTCTGAAACAGGCTCCAGGCTCTGAGCTGGCAGTCAGCACAGAGCCCGACGCGGGGCTCGAACCCACGAACCGTGAGATCATGACCTAAGCGAAAGTCGGACGCCTAACCAACTAAGCCACCCAGGCGCCCCTGGATTTCTTCTTTCTATACGGGGAACATTTAATTTTGGATCCTGCTTTTAAAATTATTTTTAATGTCTGTTTATTTTTGAGAGAGAGACAGAATGCAAGTGGTGGAGGAGCTGAGAGAGAGGGAGACACAGAATCTGAAGTAGGCTCCAGGCTCTGAGCTGTCAGCACAGAGACTGACACGGGGCTCGAATTGTGAGATCGTGACCTGAGCTATAAAGTCAGACGCCAACCAGCTGAGCCACCCAGTGCCCCCTGCTTTTAAAAATTTTAATGTGAGACTAGAGGATTAAAATAAAACTTTGAAAACATAATTTTTACATGACTACATTATTACATCATTTGTATATTGTACAATTTATTTAACTGTTGTCTTATTGTTAGACAGGCTTTGCTCAGTGTTTTCCTTTTAGTAATAAATTTTCAATTAATATCATTGTATGTATATATGACTACATCTTTTGCTTTATGTAAATTACTAAAGGTGAAATTACAGGAACAAAGAATATAAATATGTTTTAATGTTGATTATACAAATCTCAGTTGGTTTCCAGAAAGATTTTTGTCCTCTGTAAATTGTTCCTCTTGCCCATTGTCTTCTGTAAATTATCCCTTTTTTTTTTTTTTTTTACTGATTAGAAGTGTTATACATTTCTTACCAATTTATTTGAACTCTGTTCGTTATATATCTGCAGACATTTTTTTCCCATCTTGGCACTTTAGATTTTGTCTTTGGTTTGTTTTTTAAATAATAAAGTCGTTACTTTGGAATAATTGTGGGTTTACAGAAAAGTTGCAGAAGTAGTACAGAGAGCATTGTAAACCTTCTACTTAGTTTCCCCTAATGGCAGCATCTTACATGGCCCTATACATTTATCAAAACTAAGAAATGAACGTTAGCATATTGTTATTAGCTGAACTACAATCTTTTTCAGATTGTACCAGTTTTTCCACTAATGTCTGTTTTCTGTTCGAGGGTCCAGTCCAGGATACCACAGTGCATTTAGTTTATTGTTTTGTTGTTTTGTTTTGTTGTTTTGTCGGGAATACTTTAGTTTTATATATTGATGCTAACTAATACAACATAGTATCCTTTGCAACAATCTCAGAAACCTTAAGTAAAGTTCTTTGTCTTCCTGAGTTTAAAAAGTTTTGTCTTCCTACTGAGATATTATGTAAATTATATAAATCTATATAATTTAGATATAAAGTAACTGTCCAAAAGTATTTTCCTTGCATATTTACATCTTCCTCCAAAAAGGATGTAAAGTAATGTTTTTTAAATCAAAATTAAAGAAAATTAAGTGTAGGAAAAATTAAATAAATAAGCTGTATTAATGACGTTCATGTAAAACTCATACCCTGGAGTCCTAAACTACTCCCCCAAAAATAGTATCTGGTAGAACTGTTGAAATACTTTAATACTATTTTAGTAGAATTCTTACAAGTAGGCATGAACAAAATATATTACTACATAATGCCAGACCTACACAACACCTATGTCTTTTGAGTTATCAGTTGTTAACTTTGGCCACAATTGCTTTATTCAGACATCTCCATATTTTAAATGTCTGTTCTGGCTAGGAAAGAGCATAGCCTACCTACAGCATTTACAGAGCCTCCAGGTTGAGATACTATGTTACTCTCCGGTTTCAGGTACCACTGTTGCTTAGTGGGTGTGCAAAACAGAAAATTGTGTCTCTGAGGAAACTCTATCACTTTCTCCTCAAAAGTGATCACTACTAATGCAATAAAATATTTTCAATTGGATCCTGGAGCAAAAAAAAAGGGACATTAGTGGAAAAACTGGTGAAATTCAAACAGTCTGGAATTTAGTTAGTTGTAATGCACTAATGTTGATTTTGTAGTTCAACAAATGTATCATGGTTATGTAAGATGTGAATATTAAGGGGACCCTGGGTAAAGGGCCCAAGGGAAGTCAGTACTGTGTCTATAACTTTTCTATAAATCTAAAATTATTCCAAAATAACAAGCTTATTTTTCAAGGAAAAAAATTTACTCTGGAATTTTAATGTTAAAAAATGCTCACAAGAGACTTATGTTCTGAATACTCTGTAGATTCTAGCTTTCAGTCACAGTGATTTTCCCTAACAGGAAATTTTTGAATAAACTTTACTAGTGTTTGTGCTTCTACCACTAGGTGGCAACAAATGACCCTGTGTCCTCTACCTAACAGGCTGATCTGTTTTTCCTCTTTAAAAGGCTTTGTCACAACAAACAGACTAAGGTGTATCTCCCAGAACCACCTTTTCCTCATGCAGAGGTAAGAAAATGCCATTATTGGGTCAAAGCAAGAAAAAACTGTAGATAAATGGTTGGAGATGGAGATAGCGTGTCATTAGTTTTTAAAAACTCCTTATGTAAACTCATATAGTTTCTTGTTTCCCATGTGAGATGACAGCGAAGTACTCTAACTCAATATATGTTATTTTCTCTTCTCATTAACACATTATATTGCCAGTATGTTTCTCCAGTTCATAACTTTACCTCTGTTCTGTTCCCTGTGTGAGGAATTTTATCTGACCCCTACTGCTAATTTCTTAGCATAACAACAGATTCATTTATTGTCAGAGTCTAGATATGAAGTTTTAATGATGAAAATTTAAGTTTTTAAAAAATAGAGAGTCAAATATACAAACTTCTTCTAAAATAAATAATTCACTGGTTGTAATGTACATCATAGTGACTATAGTTAACCATACTGTATTGTGTGTTTAAAAGTCGCTAAGAGAGCAGATACTCAAAGTTCTCAGAACAAATTTTTTGTACCTGTGTATGTTGATGGATGTTAACTAGGCTTACAATTGTGATTTTTTTTTCACGATATATATAATATTGGACACTTGAAACTAATAGAACATATATAACATAACATTAGTGTACCCAGTTTTGTTTTCATTGTTTTTCACAGGTGTGTCATGCATATTTTTCTGTGTGCTTCTTATTGCTGCCTAGTATTCCATAGCATATCATATGAACATATTATAATGTACTTAACTGTTCTGTTACTATCCGAAAAAAGAGTTACTCCCCATTTTTTGTTACATTTTTACAAAGGATGTTTATTTTTTTTATTTTTTTAATATTTTTATTTTATTTATAGGAGAGAGAGAGAGAGACAGCGTGAGCAGGGGAGGGTCAGAGAGAGAGGGAGACAGAGACTCTGAAATAGGCTCCAGGCTCTGAGCTGGCAGTCAGCACAGAGCCCGACGCGGGGCTCGAACCCATGAACCGCGAGATCATGACCTAAGCAAAAGTCGGACGCTTAACCAACTAAGCCACCCAGGCGCCCCTTAAAAAGGATGTTTAAATTGGTATAACTACTTTAGGAAACTGGCAGTATCTGCTAAACCTGAACATATAACATACTCCCTGCTTCAGCAATTTTGTCCCTGAACTTATATACCAAACAGAAATACATAGGTGTGTCACCAAAAGACACAAAAATCTTCAGAGCATTCTTGGTAATGATGCTGAAATATACCCTAAATAGCCTAGTGGATTTTGTGCTATATCCTATACAATGGGATGCCTTACACCAGTGAGAATGAATGAATTCCAAATACATGAAGTTATGTAAACAAAGCTCACGAACATAATGCAAGTAAAATAAGTCAGATATAAGAGAGTAGACACAGTGTGACTTTCTTTATATAAAAGTTCAAGAACACACAAAGCCATTCTGTGGTATCAGAAGCCAGGATAGTGGTTACCTTGGAGGTAGGGATGGAGGCAGTAGTAACTGGAAAAGGACAAAGGGGAACTTCTGAGAAGTTGGTCATGCTGCTCATTAGTGTGCATTTGGCAACACAGAAGTTTTCAGTTTGTAAAAACTTCATTAATCTGCAGATGTCTGTGTGGATGGGCTTGTGTAGGATTTAGTTGGTTTATTTGTTTTATAGTTAAGAATTTGATTCGATATAAATAACAATAGATGTCCTGCTAACATTTTAAATTTGACAACTCCTACTACCCCTGCTTATTGCTACTCCAAAGGACTTTTATGAACCAGAATTTCACAGGAAAGGTTCTGAGGAAGTCATTTTTCAGTCCAGACACTCTGTTTTAGCAGCCAAAGTTTTTCCAAGCTCTGTCATTACCACAGTGAACTTCAGGCTAGAAATGCAGTGATGTCAGAAAATTAAGCATGGCAAAACATACATTATGATGGACTTTACCCATGAAAGTCAGTTTTCCTCCCCCTAAGCAACAATTAGCCTTTTTTTGTTTTCTAGGGGTGTTACTTTACATTTTTACCTGCATATTGTCACAGATAACCTATGTCCCATTTACGGTTATGAATATGAAAAGACCATAGTTGCATGATCGGGGTTCCTGAAACGCACTTGCCTATTTTAGGGCATAATGGAGTTGACTCAGTATTGTGACCAATGCCCATGAGAAAATACCCTTCTGCCCTTAGTACTCATTAAAAAAAACTACAGAATTCCCACCCTATAGCTTCATTCTGTATACAGTTTGGACCTTAAATAAATATAGAGGTAATGAATGGTCAGGTGTAGTAAATCAGCCAGAAAGGTAGATCCAATTGGCAAAAGGAAAATAAGAGATGAATTTATCTTAGTTGCTATACTTTGATCAGAAGAACTTCAGGAACACTAGGTAAAAAGTGTTCCTGCCTAAAAAGTTATTTAAGTTGTGTGCAAAGACCCACTGCTATTCTTAGAATCCCATTTGTCTCCCTGACAGCAATGGATACAGTAGGCTTAGTCTTTTAACAGCACTCACCCATTTCGCTGGGACAAGTAATGATTTGGGGCAGATCGGTTATAAAAAGAATGTCCCTTTTATTTGTATGTAACTTGAAAGGGAGATGGGAATTCAGCATTTGTTCCATCTTTACTACAACGTATCCCATCCAGGCCTTAGACACCTGGTTAAGGTCTCCAGAGTTGTGTTGCAGTGTTCCTAGGAAAAGCATTCTCTCTGAATTAAAAATTAAATCTTTATAGTGAAGAGAGTTTGGCTTCCATGTGGGGGTTGTCCCATTCTGGCCACAGTTCACTACTGGGGTGACTTCAGTTGGATTTGGGCTCCCCTCTTGTGCATTATTATTGGTTGGTTCAGACCATTTCTTTATCCATCAGACAATATCTCAGGGCAGCATTCCCTTTGACCTAGCTGGTATTTAAGGTCTCTGAAATCTGGATGTTTGTCATCTGACGTTTTGATGCTAGAGTGGGGAGGTGGAGGAAGGGCCAGGGCAGCAGGAAGAGCTGCTGAGCTGTCACAAGATGCCATCTGTGGCTGTAACTGTATATGGTGTTGCCTTGAGTGGGGTATGACGTTGAGAGAGAATTGCCAGATATTGTGCTGGAAGGCAGAACTTTTTGCTTCAAAACATACACTTTTGAGACAGATTTGAGGCAGAGCATGGCCCACTTCTTTCTATAGCTCTTTGTGTCATGAGGACATCACATCTCCCAAATTTCTGAAAGCCAATTTTGGCTTTTGTCTTTATTAAGTTGCTGCAGTAACTTAACAGCTATAACATCTCAAGAGGTGGTCTTCTGCAGGTAAGCAATTTTTCTTGTGTGAAGTGTTTATTGTTGAAAGAAGTTGATGAGTCATATGTTTGGGGAAAATTACTTGTACTTCAAATAATAACTGATTCTGGGAACTTCTGGGGCTGAGACTCCGAGTGTCAGGAAGCTCTAAAGAGTTAGACTGCACCAGGCCTTTAACAGCCTGAATAATAATATGTACAGGAAGACTGCATCTGTTCAGAAAGTCACATTGTACATTTAAAAAAATGCAATCTTCCACAAATTTTAATCAGGTTCATTTGTATTCTTAACTTCCTTCTGCTCATGCTCCCATGCTGTGTGGTCCTTCCCTCTGGTAGGACTAACGTCTCTATGTGCTTCTCTGTACATTTTGTAGCTCATTCAGACCAACAAGCTGAAGCACTACCCGAGCCTCCATGGAGACTTCAGCAGTGATTTCCGACAGCCATGCGTGGTATTCACTGGGCACCCCTCCCTCCGATTTGGGGACGTGGTCCATTTCATGGAGCTCTGGGGGAAATCTAGTCTCAACACTGTCATATTCACAGGTAAATAAATAAACAAAACCCTGCCCTTTCTACCAGGACCTTCACCCAACGCACTGACCGTGATGAAATGAACCATAAGGCATAAATACGAACACTCATCTGATGTAAACCACGAGAGAAAGAGTACAGCAAGATTGACTGTTAGGAAACTGTACTGGACAAAGCTTTCATATCCATTTTTCAGGGATTTTTCCCTGAGGCAGATTTCTGAACTGCTTTTGATAGGATTTTGTAAGCTGTTTCAAGAACAGCCGTAATTCTAGTAATCACTCTTGTGTTACCCTTTAGGAATTATTTCCTGAGTTGGGTTTTCCTCCTTTGGTTATAGTTTACTCTGGCTTACAGTTTTATTTTTTTTTCTGGACACAAACCTGTCAGAGTAAAACAGATCCTTTGATGAACCCAAGCAGGGGTTTTACTTAATCACTACATTATCAATTTTAGGTCTTCAGCCTCAGGATTTGGAAATACTACGGGCAATGAAGTAAAAAACCTTGATCTGAATCTGGTCCAATGTAACCTAAGCCAAGTGACCTCACCTCCCCAAGCCTTACTTTCTTCATCGTAAAATGGGATTATTGATGGCTCCTTCCTTAGGTGGCTCTGTGTGTTTACTGAAATGTTATTAGAAGGCACTTCATACAGTGCCTGGCACATGACAGCTGTTGAGAAAGTTATCAGTTGATTTCTTTCTCATTGCTTTTAAGACTTGAATGATGGAATAGAGTCTAGTTGTGCCCAAAGCTTCAAGATCAGGAACACTGTGGTGCTTCCCTGTCCTCAGCCTGTTTGGGAGGAGTGCCAGAGGCCTCCAGCACACCACTGGGCAAACAAACTTGGTTTATTGATTCATTGTGGCTGAGAAGAACACATTCCATGGGGAGGTGGGAGGCATCTCAGAACATGTTGAAAAGAACTTATGGATTTGGGCTTGTGTTGGGTGATTTTGAGGTGGATTCGCAGATGTGGGACATTGCTCTGGAGTGGCTGCTGTCGGGAAGCAGGAGTGGTTATATGATTGAGTATCTTAACAGTTTTTATCTGGAAGGTAAGAAGAATGGAGCCAGGATACAGTAATGTTTGCCCATTTTGTGGTTTGAACAGTGTTGTGGTTTTGTGTTCAGGCATGATTACGTAGGGGTTCTTGTTTTTGTCTTGATCCATTGTGGTCACCAAATGGCCATGTCTGGTGTTAGTGTTCTGTGAAATTGTTGATGTCCAACAGGAGAACAGCATGGCCTGGCCATAACTGACATGCCAGCTCCGGCTCTAACTCCAGGACCTTGTAGAAAGTGCCAGGAGAGCTCAGAAAAGCAGCTTCAGGGACTTTTCTCTTTCCCAGGCCCCCTTTTGGCCAAAGGCAGAGGAAGTCAGGTCACAAGACATTGACCCACAGTACCCAGAACCTCATCATGGCCAAGTTTTGCTAAGCAAGAGGTGGTCTGGAGAACATTGCCTATAGTAGGACTAAAGGTGGCCTCCTATTCTTTTTGAGGAGTCACTGACTCTGATATGATAGTGGGTACAGTATTTATATAGGCACTGTGTTTGCTGTAGTATAATTTTTCCTTTAGCCGGCTAAGAAGAAATCAAGGACTGTGTGATTTTCCATAACAACCTTGGGTAATGAATTTAAATCTAAACCGGTTTTAAAGGGCTTTCAGAACAGCTATGTCATTTATGATGTCTGGTCGTGTCAAAAATGAGTTTTGGACCACTTCTTCTGATTATATTACAGCTGCAGGAAAGTTGTAGTTCACATAGTACACGTAAAAAGGGAATCTGTTATCTCCTAGGTAGCTATCCTTGTCTCATTTGAGGGTATTCTTAGGGAAACAGGAGCCACCGGAGGGGGAATAATTTAAAAATCTGGAAGTTCTGGGGCACCTGGGTGGCTCAGTCAGTTAAGCATCCAACTTCAGTTGGGGTAATGACCTCACGGTTCTTGAGTTCAAGCTCCACGTCGGGCTCTCTGCTGACAGCTTGGAGCCTGGAGCCTGCTTCAGATTCTGTGTCTCCCTTTCTCTCTGCTCCTTCCCTGCTGCGTGTGCTCTCTCTCTCTCTCAAGAATAAACATTTTTTATAATTTAAATTAAATAAATATATAAATTTAAATAAAATAAAAATCTGGAATTTCCATCAGCCATCCTCAATGCACTGGGAGAGTTAGTGGGACAGGGGAGTGTAAGCCTGAGGGCTGTAAGAAGTGATGTCCTTGTGGGGGCACAGGCTGTTGGGAGTCTAAGGATTCTTTTTCACACCAGAAATGTAATCCCTGCCACACAGGCCGCAGTGAGTGGTTCTGGATGGAACAAACGAGCCGTCACGGCCAGCATGGTTCCCAGTCATGGTGCGCACCGGGCTTTGCCAATAGGAGCATGACAGTTGCAGCAGAAACATCTGTTGACATGGGGCCAGGGTCTTTTTCTCATGTGTGCCCTGTCAAGTCGGTGGTATGTCATTTGCCTCATACATGCATGTTAACTTTAGGCACTGGATTCGAGTGGCCTGTGCCAGGTTTCCCCACTATGAAGTCAGTTTTTACATTTACATTTAATCAGTATCCTGGGTGGGGGGACACTGAGACTGTATATCCCCTGGTCTTCCTCAAATTTTTATCTATTTTTTTTTTTTTTTGCATCTATTGGATGATCCTAGTCTGAATAAATTATTGCTATGATGGTTGCCAAATGGCAGTTGTTTTTTTACTTTCATTGTTTCCTTTACATTTATTTGGCATTCTGTTGCAAAGAAGAGCTTTCCCTTCTCTCCCATTTACTTACATATCCCCTCATTTATCTCCTCCATCTCTCTGTTGAAAATCTTGAGCCCGCACCCACCCTGCCCTATTCATTCTGGCCTCTCCCCATGCTGGCTTGTAAATAACTCCTCTCCAGGGGTCAGGAAGCCAGCTCCTGCCAGCCTCTGTGCACTTAGGTACAGACTCCGCCTTGACCACACCAGCCACCTCCTCACTTGGCAGCAACTCTGTTGCTTGCATTTTAAATTCTCCTTTTTGTGCTCCCATTAGAACCTGATTTCTCCTACCTGGAAGCACTGGCTCCCTACCAGCCCTTGGCCATGAAATGCATTTACTGCCCCATCGATACACGACTGAACTTCATCCAAGTGTCGAAGCTGCTCAAAGAAGTACAGGTGAGGAAGGGAAGTGCTGGTGTCTCCGCACAGCCCAGCACAGCCAGGGAGTTTGTGCCTCTGTGCAGGTGGGTGTCTGGCTGCACTTGTTGTCCTCCTCACGTCCCAGGAGTCTGTTGCATGCCCGCACGTGTGTGGGTCACACACACACAAACCCCCAGTAGGGGGCTTTACACTCTAGAACCAGTTTCCATTCTAAAGAAATCAAAGGTGGAAGGGAAGGGAAGGGAAGGAAAGCCTAAACAGCCTATTATTTCTTTATGAGGACCATCTGTGTCCAGTTAAAAGCAAATTGCCCCTTCTCCCCACCAAAACAGTCATTCTAGAAACAGACTCATCAAGCTGAAAGACAGTTTCACTGAACCCACACTGGGCCCTTGTTGCAGATGTGGGTTAGTACCACAAACACTGTTCTTTTGCTTTCTGTTAGGGGCTTGTTTGGGTTTCATTTTTGTGGCTTTTGTTTTTTCCTTTTGCATCTTCTGCCATGGGGCAAGGGAAGAAGTAGTTGGGTAAAGCGGTGGGCAAAGGAAGACCATCTACACAGAAGGAGAATGTAGACAGTGAGCGGGGAATAAAAATCACCGCACTGGGTCAGTGACCTTTCGGCGGCACATGTTTGATAGTGGAGTTGGGGGAGGCTGCGTGTAGTTGGCGAGGAAGAGAGACAAGAGGAAAACCTCTCATTCCCCATTGCCTCAGGAGCTTAAAGGAGTACCAGAGTGCCTTGGCACGTCTTCTGTCGCTTCAGCTAGTAATTTAGCAAGGTACGATTAGCTCCCTTCGTTTTTCTTGGCCTAGGTCAGAAGTTTGCTTTCCTCCTCACAGAATCTATGACCTCAGGATGGGAGGTACTAACTCAGAACTCTAAGGAAGGGTAACAAGAAATGGAAAGCTGAAGAACTTCAGGAATGCAGACATAATGGATGATGGCCGTCACTAGCTTGCTGGCCCTACAAGGAAAGAATGTGGGCTTTCTCTAGACATGATTAGAGTAGTGGATAAGTTTTGGCCAAGTTGGTGATTCGATACCCATCCTGTGTTCATGAGCACGCTGGCAGAAGCAGTTAAGAGCCTGTTGTTGTCATGACTGAGTTCCCCCCGTGGTCCGCATAGTGGTGGTGTGTTCGTGGAGCCCCTGGCAGTGTGTGACGGTGGGAGCCAGAGGCCGTCTTGTCCCCACAGTAGGAAGGGGAAGCGGGGACGGTTTGTCAGGCTGCAACTGTGTGGTCGGATGGCTTCGAGAAGAGTTAGGAGCTCCTAACCAGGTCAGGAGGAAGGAAGGGATCAGCCCAGCTGAACAGGTGCTGTTTTCAGTGCATCGGCTCAGCCTGTTGGAAGGCCTTCTTCCAGCAACTAGAGGTGAGCCCTAGACTCGTAAGTAAAAGCAGTGGCAGTACAACTCAATGGGCCACCGGGATCCATTTTTAGTTGGGTGGTATTTGTCCCAAGTAAATGTTGGTTTACTATTCTTCATCTCTCAAAATAACAGACATATTTTGCAAAGAAGTTCTGATTCAGTGTGTCCCACACAATTGAGTATGTGAGTGCACACTGCTAACAGCAGTGCACCTGCAGATCCCAGAGAAGCCCCGACCCCTAAACACCAGCCCAGCACAAAAGTCAGCACTTCTTGCTAATAGGCCAACTGCTGTACCAGTCAGCGATGACAGGTGTGACAAGAAGACTGTGCCCTCAAGGGGCTTAGGGACCAGTTGGGCACAGACCTATGGATGTTACCATTAAAGTGACTTAAAAATGGTGAAAACATAAAAACAGATGTGAACTGAGGCAGTGGATTCCCCCACCAGTCCACATGACTGGCAGTTGAGGGCTTTGCCCTGAAATATTTATTCTTCTGTCCCCACACTGCGTTCCCCTTTCCTGTTGCCTGGTGCTTGGGTTTGAGAAAAGGGGGGTCCGGAGGCAGTGAGGCAGAGCGGGCACACGGGCACACTGGGGCAGGCCTCCTCCCTTACCTGCCCCTGTCCTGTTGGTTCTCAGCCGCTGCACGTGGTCTGCCCCGAGCAGTACACGCAGCCGCCCCCTGCACAGTCCCACCGCATGGACCTGATGATTGACTGCCAGCCGCCTGCCATGTCCTACCGGAGGGCCGAGGTCCTCGCCTTGCCTTTCAAGCGTCGGTACGAGAAGATTGAAATCATGCCAGAGGTGAGCCGTTCTCTTTCTCATGGTCAGACCCGGGTTTTCCACTTGAGTCACTGAAAGAAGAGGGTCTCAGAGGTGGCTTTCTTGTCTTTGTGTAAAACGTGGATGAACCAAAGAACACAGACCCTTAGGCCTGGAACTGGGAAGAGAGGCAGGATCTTCCAAATTGCCTTATTTCTCAGGTAATGAAGTAACAGCCATTAAGGACTGCTGCTTGTGTTCACATTTAAGCCAGGAGGCCATGGCCTCACTGCCAGCTCCATCCCCAAACACCTTAGGGTCATGGATTTTCTCATTCTTTCTGGACCTCATTTGAGTGTGGGTCAAGTTCCATCAAATTCAGAGATAGATGGAGGAGATAAGGGTAACCAACATATAAGGGATATAAATGTGATTATTTGTGTGCATATCGTACGCTTGAGACAGTCGAGGTATACTGTGCATGAGTGACCGGCTGACGGCCAGGCAGCCCAAGTCACATGGCCCACCTCCTGCAACATCAGTGTGGGAGGCTCTGTAGGAAGCTACTTTTGGCTTCCTTTTGCCTCTTGAGACAGCTTGACCATGTCCACAAAATTTCTCGTCCCAAAACTTCTTAAAAATTAGAACCCAAGGGGCGCCTGGGTGGCTCACTCAGTTAAGCATCTGACCTTGATCTCAGTTCAAGTCATGATCTCATCCCCAATGTGGAGCCTACTTGAAAAAAAATTAGAACCTCAAAGAGTTTTTATCTGGGTTATGTCTATTGATTTTTTCTATATTAGATGTTAAAACTAAGAAATTTTTTAAATATTTATACATTTAAAAATAATGATTTAAGGGTGCCTGGGTGGCTCGGTTGGTTGAACACCCAACTCTTGATTTTGGCTCATGATCTCACAGTCTTGACTGAGCCCCACATCAGGCTCCTTGCTGAGGGTAGAGCCTGCTTAAGAGTCTCCTTTTTCCTCTGCCACTCTCCCTCTTGTGATCTTGTTCTCTCTAAAACAAAAATTTTAAACTATAAAAACAATGATATGATCCCATTAGATGCTAACATAACTAAAATATCTTTTATGAAAAATGTCTCTGAAAAAGAAGATACTGAGCAAAGGGGCACTGTTGTCTGTTTACACATCTCTTTAATGTCTGCCTGTGGATTGTCCTGTCTCCCTCTGCTTTCGCTTTGTTGTGGATAACCCATGTCATGTAATCTCGAGAAGACCCCAGTGAACACTCGTGATAGCAAGAGTGAAAAGGCTAAGACACTCGCATTATTAGGACAGTCACATTGACCACGATGCCCCTGAAAGAGGCTCAAGTCCCACACTTTACTGAGAGCAACGCTCTGCACAGCCATCTTTTTAAGGCCTGCCTGCCTTCTCTTGCTGTTTTAGTAGGACTCTATTACTACAAGAGTTACTTTGTAATAAAAGTATGCTTACTCTTTCTGGAAAATTCAGAAAATAGAATTAAAAGAAGGATAAAGACCATGGTCCCCATGCCAGAGATTACTCCTGCTCAGAGTTTTGTATATTTGCCTTGTCTGTTCTCCATGTGTGTGCATGCATGCACGTGAGTGTGTGCATGAGTGTGTGTGTGTGTGTGTTTGAATCCTATCCAGCATGCTGTCTTGGTCATGTAACAGTAAGTATATCATTACTAGTAAAGCATCTTAGTGGGATATAATGGTCTATCCTCTATCCTTCATTGGTGGGCTTTATTATTTCTGTTCTTCCATATTATAAATAATGCTTTCAGAAACATTCTTTTACATAAATCTTTGTCCATGGACAGAACATAGAGTTTTGCCCAGGAGAGGCATGTGCAGGATGAGGAGGTTAAAATCTGGCGCTGTTCTTTAGGTGCCGCTGCTACTAAAGGATGATGATTCCTCCCCCAAACGAGAGTGTGTCCTCTGCAGCTTCCCCATAAATCCTCCTCCTTTGTCTAAGTGCAAGATGGGAGATCGGATGCGACAGCCCTCATGGACATGTTCTGGAAAGACTCTCTATTAGACCGTCTATTCCAGGGCCGTGAGGGGTGCACCCTCCCTCGAGGAGGTGTCTGAGCAGAGACCTCCCTCCTGACCCAGCTGAGTCTTAGATCTCAGTCACGGGGCCGCCCCGGGACAGCTTCTCACCTGCTGGGTTCCTACAGTGCTGTCCCCAGACCCCCCAGCCCAATTCTTTGGCTTTAAAGTTCTGCCAGGGAAGCTGCCCTGGGATGGGCATAACTGCAGTGTAGGAAGGAAAAGGATGCTTATGGATGGGCGGTATCGGGAGACCAGAGCAGACACATTGTCTCCCGGGGAGAACGTCTCACACTTGTGCCACATATGTTTTCTTATTTCGTGAAACAATTTTCACATTCCATTTTCCAGTCCTTTTAAATATTCTGAGCTGCTTCCTCTGCCCATGTGATGTCGATCTTCATATTTACCTAAATGGCATCTTGCATATTTGTTTACTTTTGTTTTTAAATATAAGAGGCTTGGACAGAGCAGGGTCTACGTGTATAAGCAGTAGCCAACTAAAGCCGAGTGCTAGGGCTTCTCCGAAGATCACACATTGCTGCCCATGGCAGGGTCACGGAGCTCTAAAGCTGCCGAGGACAAAGGGTACACATCAGACTCAGGTGGTAGGGAAAGAGATAGCCCCCCAGGTAAAAGTTGGGTGTTGCACCTTTGGCAGCAGTCAGATTTCTAGGAATTAGCTCACTCAGTCCAAATGCTGCTGTCCCTGTCCTTCCTGCCAGACACTAGTCACCTAGTGGTCATGAGAACAGAGGTGGAGGCTAGCATGAAGTCAGCACTAGATTAGGTATTTTGCATAAGGAGAAGCCCTCCGAGGTTTTGGAGAGATACTGTGAAAGTGTTCGGAGCCTCCTGGAAGTCACCTGAAGGATGGATATGAGGTTAAGGTGGTTCAGATGATGGGCTGTCAGCAGTGTTGGCATTTCATCACTTGGGGGGCTAACAAAAGGGAGAAGCAGAAGGGTCAGCACGCTGGGACCCCAGCACGCAGCACCCCAGGCTTGCTCTGGGTCACTGCTGGAGAGTGCTGGGCTGCCCCCAGGAGGAGCGCCCAGAACACTGTGTCTGTGAACTTGGGGTCAGACTAGTTCTCTAACTCTTCTCAGCCCAGTTTATGCACCACCACTACCCCCTTTTCCTCTTTGGCTTCTTATACCTCCTTTTTTATTACAATCAATGTATATACATTTGTGTGTCTGATACATTTTTGATTAAAGTTTTTTTTTTTTTTACCTTTTTTCTTAAAATTATGTGATCATGTTAGACTGCAGTGATGTAAATAGAAGTTTAAAAGAAAAGAAAATGAATAAGGATGATCATGAAAGTCTCAGCATTATGACATTTGATGCCGTGTCTTTCCCACCAGGCTGGCAGGGGCGCTTGAGCTGCAGCCCCGTGTGGCCTCCTGGTCCTGACTGGACAGCACAGCTGCGCCACCTCATCCCCAAACTTAGACTGAAACCCCTGTTTGTTTCCAGCTCGCAGATTCACTGGTGCCCATGGAGATTAAGCCTGGCATTTCCTTGGCAACCGTCTCCGCGGTGCTGCACACAAAAGATAACAAGCACGTCCTTCAGGTATGGGGGAGGGTGGGCTGCCCCTGTGGCCATGAGGAAGTGCCCACCCACAAGGAGGCTGCAAAGATTCCGAACTCCCACCCTCTCCACCCCCGACGTCTCAGTGTTCCAGCCTGCAGAAGTTAGCACACTACGTAATGGATTCGATCTGAAACAAAGAGGGCACTGCATACAGATTCTTCAGTACTTATTTCTCTGGCTACATGCCTCAGTGAGAGAAAAGGGAAGAGCAACTATTATTCATAGCGCGGAGGCCGCACATCAGCATTTAGTGCCCTTCCAGCCCTGAAAGCACTGGCCTCACTCAGCTCCTGGGGGCATTGCAGAGAGCCTGGGCGGGAGCCAGCCCCTCCCAAGAGGAGGCCTGCCTGAACACCCCTGCAGGGGTGGGCGGGGCCTGTCCCCCCTGCACCTGTGCCCCAAGTTCCCCATGTGTTCACTCCCTCATGGTGCAGCCCTTTAGGTACTCGTCCTCCCTCATTCCCCTTAGAAAAACTCCTTCCAGACTTGAGTGTGCTGCTCTGACACCCCGAATGATCTGCACAGAGCTGCCACTTAAAATATACGAGGCGCCGTGCTGGGCCTTCACCTGCTGTATTTCCCACTTCACCCTTACTTCACCCTCACAAAGTTCCGTGGTCACCGCTTTTTAGGCAGTTTCTCTGACCTTCATTTCAATTCATCAGTCTGACGCCACAGCTGGTGGCCTTGGCCACCCTGCTGTTGCTACGCCTGCAGTTGCCAGCACAGTTTATTCTTAAGAATTTGCGCTGAAGGGGCGCCTGGGTGGCTCAGTCGGGTGAGCATCTGACTCTTGATTTCAGCTCAGTTCATGATCTCTCGGTTCAGTGAGAGGGAACCCCATGTTGGGCTCTGTGCTGGCAACATGGAGCCTCCTTGGAATTCTCTCTCTGCCCCTCTGCCCCGCTCACATTCATTCTCTCTCTCTTTCTAAATAAACTTAAAAAAAATAAAATCTTAAAAATTTTATTCAGAAAATCCTATTGAATCAGTTATAAATTAAAAATGAGTCTTGATAAAAGGGAAATCTCTTTGCCAAAAAAGATGTGGATGCTGCGGCATTAGCTTAGGTTATGAAGAACTCCAGATGGAGCCCCTGCTGATAGTGACCCTGAACTCCAGAGCTGGTCGACCTCACATGGGATGACTCCGGGCCCAGCGCCAGGGCCTCCACCGAGAAAGATGGTCCGTTGGTAGGATGGACAGACAGGTTCTGGCTGTGCCCTGCACTGCCCTCATGCTGAGATGGTGTTTTCTCCCGCTCTAGCCCCCACCCAGGCCCATCCAGCCCGCAGGTGGAAAGAAGAGAAAGCGGGCGAGTGATGACATTCCAGACTGCAAAGTGCTGAAGCCGTTGCTGAGCGGCTCCATCCCAGTAGAACAGTTCGTGCAGGCCCTGGAGAAGGTGAGTGCACTCTGTTCGCACCTGCCACCCTTCCTGCTGTTCACCTGCTTTGAGGAATGTGTGCCGCTGCCTTTTTCCTAGTCTGGGCTCCTGTCCTTGAAGCATCTGCTTGGTCCAGGGGCCATGGCAGGAAATAGAACCAGGGGAGGGTCACAGAGTTGAGAGAAGACCATGCCCTCCTTCCCCGTAGGTTCCCCCCCCCCACTTATCTGGCTACTTCCCCCCCACTTATCTGGCTACTTCCCCCCCCCACTTATCCCCCCCCTTCTTCCCCATCAGACATCAGGCCCCTCTAGAAGACTGCCTCACCACATCCGTGTCTTTTGGGAACTAAACCAAGGCAGGCCTTTCCTCAAAAACTTAGATGCAATGGAAGGGCAAGGTAGGAGAAGCCAGGAAGTCCACCCCTTAGGGATTACTTCTCAAGCAGACCCCTTGCTGCCAGAGCACCAACATGGCTGTGTCACAAGAGATGAGAGACTTGGGCCTGGGGAGCAGGGAGAACAAAGGCACCAGTATTGGTGTATCCCTGAATCCCTGGGAGTTCTAGAAGCAGGGCCAGCAATTCCCAGACGGGGTAGGAGGAGAGGGAAGAAATAAGCAGTCACCTGGAGATCACCGGTCCTTTCCTGAATCAGCAGCTGTCCATTAGAATTTTTATTTTCCCTGAAGAAAAGACTGCAGCCATGTTGTGCATCCCTCCTAGCCCCTGAGAGTGGGATCACTGGGAACGTGGGAGTGTCCCCTGTGATGCAGGTGAACATGTCAGTCACTTCTTCCTTATGACCGTGCGGTGTTTCAGCCTGTTAGGACTCGAGCTTGACTTGTTTTTTATAAACTTGGAACAACTTGCTCTCCCAGAAAGACCTTCACTTAGTTCGCCTGGCTCATCCGGGAATCGACCCTTAGGATCTGACCCTGACTCTTCCTTTTCACCATTTCTGCCTCCTCTCCTGTAAGAGCTATCAGTACCTGCCCCAACCTACACATGAGCTTTGTAGAACTAAGGGTAGAGACTTTACCTAGCCCATTTTCTTTACCTATCCTATGTCCCTTTCAGGCAAATAAGCCTTATTTCTACTTCTTTTCTGCTTTCTCAACTTTATGTGTGATATGTATGAAAATTCTATAACTCACATTAAGGTAGCTAGAGAAGTATTTCCTGTGCTAGCCTCGTATGCTCACTTGAAAGGGATTTGCCAGATCACAAGGTCATTGGTGTCTTGATTTAAGGAATGCATTTTCCTGAGACAGGGTGGAGCTTTTTTATCAGGGGCCATTGGCATATGGAGGCTGGTGATAGCCCAGTGTCCCGGACTCCTGAACCCAAGTGCTTAGATGTGTTCCCTAGATCACTTACAAAAGCTTAAGCTATTTTAGTAATTATTTTTTTAAATTTACATCCAAGTTACTTAGCATATGGTGGAACAGTGATTTCAGGAGTAAATTCCTTATTGCCCCTCCCCATTTAGCCTACCCACCCCTCCCACAACCCCCCCAGTAGCCCTCTGTTTCTTCCCTATATTTAAGAGTCTCTTATGTTTTGTCATCTCCCTGTTTTTATATTATTTTTCCTTCCTTTATGTTCATCTGTTTTGTATCTTAAATTCCTCATATGAGCAGTCATATGATATTTGTCTTTTTCTGACTAATTTTGCTTAAATACCCTCTAGTTCCATCCAAATAGTTGCAAATGGCAAGATTTCATTCTTTTTGATTGCTGAGTAATACTCCATTGTGTATATATACCACATCTTCTTTATTCATCCATCGATGGACATTTGGGCTCTTTCCATACTTTGGCTATTGTTGATAGAGCTGCTATAAACATTGGGGTGCATGTGCCCCTTCGAAACAGCACACCTGTATCCCTTAGATAAATACCTAGTAGTGCAATTGCTGGGTCGTAGGGTAGTTCTGTTTTTAATTTCTTGAGGAACCTCCATACTGTTTTCCAGAGTGGCTGCACTGCATTCCCACCAGCAGTGCAAAAGAGATCCTCTTTTTCCACATCCTTGCCAACATCTCTTGTTGTCTGACTTGTTAATTTTAGCCATTCCAACAGGTGTGAATGGTATTTCAGTGTGGTTTTGATCCCTGATGATGAGTGATATTGACCATTTTTTCATGTGTCGGTTGACCATCTGGGTGTCATCTTTGGAGAAGTGTCTATTTATGTTTTTGCCCATTTCTTCACTGGACTATTTGTTTTTTGGATGTTGAGTTTGATAAGTTCTTTATAGATTTTGGATACTAACCCTTTATCTGATATGTCATTTGCAAATATCTTCTCCCATTCTGTCCCATTGCCTTTTAGTTTTGCTGATTGTTTCCTTTGCTGTGCAGAAGTTTTTTATTTTGATGAGGTCTCAATAGTTCACTTTGCTTTTTGTTTCCCTTGCCTCTGGAGATGTGCTGAATAAAAAGTTGCTGCGGCCAAGGCCCAAGAGGTTTTTGCCTGCTTTCTCCTTGAGGATTTTGATGGCTTCCTATCTTACATTTAGGTCTTTCATCCATTTTTAGTTTATTTTTGTGTACAGTGTAAGAAAGTGGTTCAGGTTCATTTCTCTGCATGTTACTGTCCAGTTTTCCCAGCATCACTTGCTGAAGAGACTGTCTTTATTCCATTGGATATTCTTTCCTGCTTTGTCAAAGATTAGTTGGCCATACATTTGTGGGTCCATTTCTGGGTTCTCCATTCTTTTCCTTTGATCTGTGTGTTTTTGTGCCAGTACCATACTGTCTCGATGATTACAGCTTTGTAATACAGCTTAAAGTCTGGGATTGTAATGCCTCTAGCTTTGGTCTTCATTTTCAAGATTGCTTTGGCTGTCGGGGGTCTTTTCTGGTTACGTACAATTTTTAGTATTGTTTGTTCTAGCTCTGTGAAGAATGCTGGTGTTATTTTGATAGGTATTGAATTAAATATGTAGATTTCTGTGGGTAATATTGAGATTTTAACAATATTTGTTCTTCCTATCCAGGAGCATAGAATATTTTTCCATTTTTTTGTGTCTTCAATTTATTTCATAAGCTTTCTATAGTTTTCAGGGTATAGATTTTTCACCTCTTTGGTTAGATTTATTCCTAGGTATTTTACGGTTTTTGGTCCAATTGTAAGTGGGATCAATTCCTTGATTTCTCTTTCTGTTGCTTCATTATTGGTGTATAGGAACGCAACCAATTTCTTTGCATTGATTTTATATCCTGTGACTTTGCTAAATTCATGGATCAGTTTTTTGGTGGAATTTTTTGGGTTTTGCATAGAGTATCATCTCATCTGTGAAGGGTGAAAGTTTGACCTCCTCCTGGCCGATTTGGATGCCTTTTATTTATTTGTGTTGTCTGATTGCTGAGGCTAAGACTTCTAATACTATGTTGAATAACGGTGGCAAGAGTGGACATCCCTGTCTTGTTCCTGTAGGAAGTGTCATTTCTTAGAACTGATAGTTGCAATATCCTTCAGCCTTTCAGGCAGCCCCTTGCTTTCAGAGTATCCATCATCCTCCTCTCTCTTTTCTTTTGGAACAGCATGGCTTCAGTGATGTTAAGGTAGAAGACACAGCAAAGGGCCATATTGTCCTGCTACAGGAAGCTGAGACACTCATCCAGATTGAGGAAGATTCGACCCATATCATATGTGACAATGATGAGATGCTCAGGGTTCGACTGCGGGACCTCGTTCTTAAATTCCTACAGAAGTTCTAAGTGAACATCTAAACCATTTCTGTTTCATTGAAACCCTTCAGTTCTTCATTATGGCTGCCCAGCACAAACCCAGAAAGGGCACAAAAAGTTGGCCATATCTTTGGTCAGTGGCTTAAGGAATAAAGAACTGGTCCTTGAGGGATGTGATTATTGGGAGTTATGGCCAGAATCCCCTGGAGAACTTTTGCTTTAAACTTAACACTCATTTTCTTCCCATTTCTGGGTAGCCAGGAATGATAAGGCCACTGCTTAGCTGAAGAGTAGCATAAAAGTAACAGAAGCGGCTTCCCAAGAGGTTAATGGTGGAAGGGTTAGGTAAGTCAGTTATTACTGACTAAAGTGGTACATGTTTATTTTTCCTGGCTTCACAGGCCTTGAGCAGGGGAACTAGTCTTCGATTTTGCTTGTCTACAGTGCTACACCCAATAAGAAAGATCCCCAGTCGGTAAAATGTAAAATGACCATCTGTATTTTATATTGTGAGCCCATTTTGTTAATAAAACTTATTTTTATATAAGTATCTGTTTAACCTAGGATTTATACATTGATTTAGTGTGTGAAAACCTAGAATTTATACACTGATTTAGTGTCTGAAAAACTACGAAAATATGCAGAATAGCATAAACTTAGAAAATACCATGGCAAATTTTAATTCGATGTGTGCATTCATATAACTCAACATGGTGTAGAAAATTCGTATTTTTCTTAAATTGTATGAAAATGTGCTTTTCTTAAATTGTATGAAAATATGCTTAACTTTATCTGGGCTGTATCTGTATAAAAAATACCAACACAGGGGCGCCTGGGTGGCTCAGTCAGTTAAGCATCCAACTCTTAATGTCAGCTTAGGTCGTGATCTCACAGTACATGACTTCAAGCCCTGCATCTGGCTCTGCGCTGACAGCACAGAGCCTACTTGGGATACTCTTGTTGCCCCTCCCTGCTCGCTCTCAAAAATAAACTAAAAAAAAAACAAAAAACAAAAAAACACCAACACAGATTGGTATCAGCTGCCTTAACCTTCTGGGGAAAGGTCCAGAACAAACAGCTCAGGCTCTGCTCGTTAATACTTGCCCTTCCTCACAGATTATCAGGATTCTCTACATTAAGCAGAACATTAAATTCCACTGCCCAAAGATCCTCATAATAGTATGCTACATTTGAAATAATACTGCTTAATTGCTCAAAACAGGTATGTACCAGATTACATCTATCTAAGCATCAGTTGTCATACACACACACACACACACCAGTTTTGTGAGTACTGGGTGGGGGAGGGGGGTTGGTAAGAGTACAAGTATTGGAATTGGTCAGCTAGGGAAATAGGCCTGGGTCAGCCTGTCCCTACAATCTTTTTAGACTGGTTGAAATTCAGTCAGTAGCCCCCATCCTCCAAATGAGCTAGCAGCTAAGCATCACAAAGGGATTTACTGAGCCAAGAATGAATGATGTAAAATCCTACAGAATTACTTGCTCAGGCTTTACAGAGAGTGGATTGTCCATTCTCTAAATGGCCCCACCAATGGGAAAGGATTCTTCATCAGTGGACGATGCCGTCTCCAACGTTGCCAGACGTGGACACAGGATTGCTTGGCTTCAGCAAGCCTCTGTTTTCCAGGGTACAGGTCATCCCCATCAGGGGGCATACAGCCATGGGAGGGGACTGACATTACAACAGATTGACAAACCATCGCTAGGACAGTTTACTTTTTATTTTAGGAGATGATAAATCTGCATCACATGTAGGCATACTTCCTAAGAAAACTTTTGACAGAAATCAAATTTCAAGCATCTTTAAAAATACGAAAGCAGTATAAAGAAAATCAAGAAAATCAAAATGATTATTTTACTTGGATTTGTCCAAGTTTGATTTCTTTTAAAAGGCTTGCTCATAGAGCCCCAGGCATTGATCCTTTGAGAGGTGATTACTCAAGAAACAAACAGTATATAAATGCAAATTAGTACATTGACAGGCAAGAAATAATTGAGAAATTATAAAGGCTGTAATCAAGTCACTATCACCTACTTAGCGGCAGAAGCCAGAGAGGCAGGAAGAAGCAAAGAATCATTTGGTAGAGCAGAGAGAAAATCTAGAACTGACCTTTGCAAGTATTAGGAGAGAGCAGTGATGAATAACCACCTAGAGTTCAGGTATTTGAATACCAAACTAGGTTGGTTGGTGGAAGACCCAGAAGAAATGGCAGAGCCTGCCTTCCTGTGCTACGATTATATCACTGATGATATGTCTGTGGTGTAGACATGCAGCCCACTGACTACGGACGCTGACCTGGTGAAGGGTTTGACATCTAGACCAATGTCTTCTCAAGCCCAACAAAATCCTCGTGATTAAATAGTAACTGAAAAATCATTAATAGTGAAGAGAAATCTGGTTTTGTTATTTCTTTTAATCTAAAAAGTGGTATGTCTATTGTGCAACAAATTACTCCCAAAACTCGGTGGCTTAAAGCAACATTTATTACCTCCCCATTTCTGTGGGTCAGGAATCTGGCGGGGCTTGGCCGGTGCTCCTGCCTCAAGGCTGTCTCTCCACAGTGCTTCAATTAAGATTTTGGATGAGGAAACTGAGGTACAGAGGTTAATTAATTTTTCCCAAAACATAGAGTCAATAAGTGCTGTCTCTTTACTGTAATGGCCTATGTGAGTATCAGGAACAGGAGCAAGCCAGGGAAGGGGGATGTGCCTGTTAGTCCACTGCTTTTCAAGTAAAGGTAACAGCTACACCTCTCCTTGATCCCTTGGGAGCTTGAAGCTTTCGGACTTTACAGTTGTCCTATAGAGGCAGGAGTTGGCTTTCCAGGCTACAGTGAAATATCAGCAGGAATAAGAGCGAGAAACCTCCTAAGCTGTATGATGATACATTCTTAAGAGCCAAGCAAACTGGTGGATAGGAAAGGGAGATACTGTTGTTCTCTGGCCCTCAGTCCAGTTTCCCCTGAAGCCATAAGAGAAGTAGAATGTTGTCTCAGTTTTATTGTCAATGTTTTATTGCTACACTATGGGTAGCTAGGAGACATCTGATGTTCTGAAATTCACTGCAGTATAACTAGGGCTAAATAATGTTACTCTCTGAACCCAGGATGAGGTTAGAAATAACCAGCTACAATTCTAAAGGAAGTTGCAAAACCCAGAGACACGCAGTGTAGAACGCAGGCAAAAATATCTAATCTTGCCAGAGGATAAAGCCAACATCAATCATGAGTTTGTTTACTCAAGATTAAATACCACAGTCTCTACTACTTTTTGGTAGCCTGTCAATAGGTTTTAGTCATATCATAAAAAAAATTTTACCATCTATAGATTCAATACAATCCTTAGCAAATTTCCAGTGACATTTTTCACAGAAATAGAAAAAACCTAAAATTTGCGTGGGAAACTACAAAAGACCCCAAATAGCCAAAGTAATCCTGAGAGAGAACAAAGCTGTGGAGGCATCACAATTCCTGATGTCACGCTTTACTACAAAGCTATAGGAATGAAGACAGTGTACTACTAGCATAAAAATAGACACAGAAGCCAATGGTACAGACTCAAGCCCAGAAACAAACCCACACTTAAACAGTCAACTAATATTTCCGGGGGGCAAGAATACTCAACCGGAAAAGGAGAGTCTTTTCAGTAAATGGGAAACTATACAACCACATCCAGAACAGTGACATTGGACTGCTATCTTATACCACTCAAAAATTAATTTGAAGAGGATTAAAGCCTTAATTTTAAGACCCAAAATTGCTGGAAGAAAATATAGAGAGAAAGCACCTTGACACTGGCCTTGGCAATAATATTTTGGATCGGATGCCAAGTGCAAGCAGCAAAAGCAAAACTCAACAAGTGGAACTACATCAAACTAAAAAGAAAGAGTTCTGCACAACAGAGGAAACTATCAAAAGGAAGCCTACCAAATGGGCGAAAATATTTGCAAACCATCTATCTGATAAAGAATTAATATCCAAAATATATAAAGAACTCCTACAACAGAAAAAAACTTATTTTTTAATGGGTAAAGGACTTGAATAGACATTTTTCCAAAGAGATACAAATGGCCAACAGGTACATGGAAAGATGCTCATCATCACTACCAGGAAAATGTAAATGTTGATATCACCTCATACCTCTTAGAATAGTTGTTATCAAAGAGATAAGAAATAACAAGTGTTGGCAAGGATGTGAAGAAAAGGAACCCTTGTGCACTGTTGGATGGGAATGCAGATTGGTGCAGCCACTGTGAAAAACAGCATGAAGTACTTCAAAAAACTGGAAATACAACTACCATGTGATCCAGTATTCCACTTCTAGGCATATACCTCAAGGAAATAAAATATCATCTCAGAGGTATCTGCAAGCCCCTGTGCTCACTGCAGCCAAGACGTAGAAGCAGCCTAAGTGCCCACGGATGGATGAACTATGGATGAGAAAGATGTAGGATACGCGGGGGCACGCATACACACCACAGATGGATGAACGGATAAGGAAAGTGTGGGATATACACACACGTGCGCATGCACACACACACAGTGGAAGATTATTCCACCATAAAAAAAAAAATACCTTTTACAGCCACACAGCTAGATCTTACAGGCAATATGCTATGTGAAAGAAGTCCGAGAAAGACAAATATTGTACAGGCATAACTTGTGATTTGCAGATACTGTATTTTTTACAAGCTGAAGGTTCAGGACTTCAGTGGAGGAAGTAACCACAGACGTGCAGATAGCGAGGTAAATAGAAGTAGAGCCTGGAGATGGGACGCACTTGCTACAAACTTGTGATAATTTGAACAGATGAGCTGCTTCTTATGGATGAGTAAAGAAAGTGGTTTCTAAAGATGGAACTGCTTCTCATGAAGAGGCTGGGAAGATTGTTGAAATGACAACAAAGGACTTAGAATATTACGTAAACTTCATCGAGAAAGCAGCCAGCAGGGTTTGAGAGGACTGACTCCAATTTTGAAAGAAGTTCTAGGAAAGTACTATCAAACATCATCACTTGCTACAGAGAAATTATGAAAGGAAGAGTCCATGAATGTGGCAAACCACTGTTGTCTTATATTAAGAAACTGCCACAGCCACCTCAACCTTCAACACCACCCTGGTTAGTAGCCGTCAGCATCAAGACAAGACCCTCCACCTGCAAAAAGATTGCCACTTGCTGAAAGCTCAGGTGATGGTTAGCATTTTTTATCAATATTTTTAAATTAAGGTATGTACCTTTTTTTCATACTACTGCTTGCTGTTATACACTTAGTACTACACTACAGCATAAACATAACTTCGATATGCACTGGGAAACCAAAACACTAATCTGACTCCCTTTATTGCAGTATTCGCTTTATTGCAGTGGTCTGGAACCGAACTGCAGTATCTCCAAGGTATTATTCCTGATGTACTCACTCATGTGGAATCTAAAAAATTCAGACTCCAAGAAATAGCAGCATAGTGGTTGCCAGAGGCTGGGAGGTAGGGGAAATGGGGAGATGTTGGCAGAGTGTACAAACTTCAGCTATAAGATGGG